AATGCCTAGAATCAAAGTATTATATCATTTGCACATCATTCCACTAATACATAGTACAACGTTAAATTATATATTGACTGTAGATTTGTTGTGTATGAAAATTATGTCAAAGTAAACACTGGAGATTAAACAATTATGGAAATTCCCAATGTATAGCATTTAAACTTAGCATTACTACTTGAGTATATGATGCATATGGAGTGTGGTGACACTTGGATAAATCTGAATAGTTATTGAGCCAAACTACCATCATACCTAGTTGTTGTTGGAGTGGAATATAGTGAATGGAATCCCGCAAGACAAGGAGAAAACAAGCAAATTTCAAGTGAAAAAAAAACAGACATGTAGTGACAATTACAAAACATAAAGCAAGGGCTGCATTATGTTGAATTTTGGCTTGTGCATTAACAACTAGTCACATTGGGGGCCGTGCTCATTACACGTCATTTGGAGCAGTTAGAACAGTGACTGTGGTATGATGATGAGCATGTCTGGCTGCAGAGATGAGACACTTGTCATGATCACGAAATTCTGTGTTTAGTGTTGTGATGTATGTATCTTCCTTAGTCTGTAATTACATACAAACCTAAATCTTCATTTCATTTCATTTGATCTGGAACTTTATTGAATGAAAACAAAATAGATACATAATAAATTATTTAATCATGATCATAAGAATAATGTGCAGTGTTGCATGATGGTAGTTTATATCACATGAGGTCTCTGTGGCATACATAGATTGTAATACGCAGTTTTATCCCAGAATTCTTCACTCTTCCATCCACACCAGCCCTGTCAAAAAAACAAAACAATTAATTAAAACACATAATAGCACTTTGCACACAAAAATAATTAATAATAATTAGTAATTAAATTCTATTGATATTATAAATTTTTTTCATACACATATTATAAGTAATACTCATAGTAATAAGGAATAGAGGCATTAGAATTTTCAATTATAGAATAACATATTAAACTATATTAATAAAAACATGTTTTTACGTTACCTTATCTTGAATGACTTTCAAATCTTCACCACCGGTATAATGGGGGTCTAATATTAAAAACTTGACTTGACCTGTGACCTCATTGAAATCAACTCCCAGTATTGTATGGGCCAGCACTCCACCGCCTTTGTGCAATATACACATGTACATGTAAGTAAAAATATGGAGGAAACGTAAACATATCACACGAAACTCTGACTGTAAGTACCCAACACCTTGTCATAAATACTTTTTATGACCAGATTTAAAACACTTTTTACTGTCACCATGATATTACTGTCATAAAAACAGCAATATTGCCATAAGTTGCTGACTGGTTTTCTATGCACATCTGGAGATTGTTATGTGATCAGAACAAGTTGGGTCAAACCAGGGAGCTGTAATGAGATACAGCTCCCTGGTCAAACCAACCTGAATAGGAAATGTCAAACTAATAGTGAGGGACTCAGACATATTGAATATAAATTGAAGATGTAATTATCTTTCAATTTATTTTATTCAATTGTAAAAATTGCTTTATGTCAATGAAAATGTTATCCAAACAAATTAAACAAAATGTATGTCAGTACTGTACTGACGCAGTCTTACAAGTTAGGACACAGTACTTGTATGTCTAGTGCATGGCATAATGCTAGTCAGGTAAGTGCATGAATTTAGCCTTAGAAAAAAATTTCCACGTATTTCTAAGGGCTATGATTTAGCAGAAAGCAGACACTTGTAAAACTGGTTTGATGTAATCTAACAAGTTCTAATCTCATAACCATCTTGAGATGTGTATTGCAAATTAGTCAGCAATTTAACTAGTAATTTTGCTATTTTGATGTTCGAAACAATATGGTGATGAACTTAAAACCCAGTGAAATTGCCCAAAACATCAAAATAGAGAAAATTAAATGTCAGTGAAAATAAATGGTTTTGAAGTAAAATCACAAACAGAAACTTAACCAATCAGGAAATGACAAAATTAATTATATTTGATATATTTCAAAATTGTGTACAAGACACGGAACAGGTGATTTTCAAAATTAGTCATTCCTGCAAGAAAGATACCAGCCCTGCATTAAAGATTATTTTCAAATCCTTTTGTTCCAAGTTAAGTACAAGTAAACAGGGCAAATAAGTTTATTTAGACGATGTCTCATTGTCTCTTTCATTCATTCGTTCTTTGTTTTATGATTGTACTGTCCATGGGAAAGACTTGAACTTCATTCAACAATATTATTTAGTAAAATTGTATTTTCAAAATTTAAATTGAATAGAAAGCCCAGACCATCAGGCATGCAAGTTTCATTTTTACCAGCCAACTGAAAAGTTACCTGTCGAGGCAGACAGTAATTACAAACTCTGAATACAAAAGATATTTTTAAAATTTGGTCTGCAATCAACTTCAGTGAATGAATTGACCAATTCATAGATGACCAGGACACACTATTAATGTTTTGTGATAAAACATAAGTTTACTTCCTAGAATTATTTTGTATGTTTTTTATAATATTTCAGTGTTTGAAGCCATGTAAGTGTACTTACCAATCATTATTGGTGTACCCTGTGTCTGGAAATGTACAGCTAGCTCTCGTCCCTTGTTACCCAAATCAGTACCATTGTTTACAAACATAATTTTACTTGTAACCTGTAGAATATAAAATATTACAACATATGCTATGTTTTTTGTATGGGCTCTGTGCGAGCAGCTGTGGAAGGGTTTAAATTTCACTGATTTAGCATTTAAGGCATATTTAGTGGGTTTTAAATTCACGGTTTTATCATTTAGATAATGTGTTCTATGCTCAATTTTACATATTCACTGCATTTTAATTTAGCGCATTTCCAGTCAGTGAAATAAGCAAAATTAAAACCCAGTGAATAATTAACCCGTTTACAGTATATAAATATATATATACAATGTATATACCGGTATATGTATGTTGCACATTTAGGGGTAGTCTTGGTACACTATTCAACAACTAGCTCAAAGTACAGTTTTATAAGAGTTTTCAACCATTGTTTTCACTGTGATAACAGGGGGTGAGAATGTCAGGATGTTTCCCCCAAAAACCATGTATGGATGTGTTATATAGAATACATTCATACACTTTTAGTGAACATTGTCACACTCCACCCATGTCTGAGTCTAAACATTGACTTTTTAGGAGGTTAAAACTGAATTGAAATTATAAGTCATCTTGTTTCATTATTACAGATTAACGCCATTAGGATACCAAAAATAAATAAAAGTAGTAAATCTTTCAAGAAACAAAAGTCTCAAATTTCATAAACAAGCAGCCTGTCGGCTGAGATAGCTCAGCTGTTAGCAATGCACATGGCAATTAAAGAACAGAAGATATCATTATGAAATGAACAAATCTGAGAGAGGTCCACATGTAGTACCTATATATGTAATATCAAAGCAATTTGACTTGTGGTTTTCAACAAGAAGTCGAAAATATCACTTTTTACCAAAAATATTCATCAAAATTAGAAAATTGAAGATATCATTATGCAATGAACAAATCTGAGAGAGGTCCACATGTAGTACCTATATATGTAATATCAAAGCAATTTGACTTGCGGTTTTCAACAAGAAGTTGAAAATATCTTTTTTTACCAACAAGCAGCCTCTTGGCTGAGATAGCTCCACTGTTAGCAATGCACATTTCAATTAAAGAACAAAAGATATCATTAGAAAATGAACAATATGCATAGTACCAATGCAATGGGACTTTCTGTTTTCAACAAGAATTCAAAAATATCATTTTTGACCATAAATGATTGTGGTTTTTAACAAGAAGAAAATATCACTTTTTACCAAAAATGACAAAAATATTCACCAAAATTAGAGAATTGAAGATATCATTACAAAATTAACAAATCTGAGAGAGATCCACATATAGTACCTATATATGTAATATCAAAGCAATTGGACTCGTGGTTTTTAACAAGAAGTCGAAAATATCACTTTTTACCAAAAATGACAAAAATATTCACCAAAATTAGAGAATTGATCATGAAATGAACAAATCTGAAAGACGTCTACCCAAGGTACATATACACCAAGTATCAACGCATTCAGGCTTGTAGTTTTCATGAAGAAGTCGAAAAAGTAAAACATTGACACGGACGACAGACACCAACGGACAATCACTCATATGATAAACTCCGCTCGACAAAGTCGACAGCGGAGCTAAAAATTGTCAAAATTTCTTTTCTTCATATCTCAAAATTGTGCTCTGTGTCATGGGATTAAAAATCCAAACTATTATTGATATGAATCTAATATTGTTAAAACATTTCAAAAAAAATTGAAATTTCATTTTGTCAGTTTCCAGTGTGATAGTTTTCCATTATGTACAATATGAAGTTCTCTCCCATGATGCATTGCATTTGTGCAGTAGTTAGAAATATAAATTTGGCATGAAGCGCCTTCATGTATTAGAGTATGTAAATATCATGAGTGAATAATTCTTTACGGAGATGAATTGTTAAAAAAAAAAATTAAAACTTTTTTTTTATTGCAGTGAAAAACAATCATTAGAGTGGTAACATAGTTGTAGAGTTAAAACTTTAAATAAAAGTAATTTTAAACAAAACAAGTTTTAAATACGAAGGCATAACAAAGAATAACTACATTGTATTTTTATTTCTTGTTATTATGAAACATCAAGATGGACTGATGTCATATGAATGTGACATTTGCCAAGTGGTTGATTTACTAAAAGAATATGATAATGGTAATTTTGTGTTTTGTATAATTTTTTGGACTCTATCGCAATACTAATTAAAATATAAAATTAAGCACAATGTGCACTGTATTTAGAGGGATTTGCAATCACACACCCTCAATAACAAGATGCAGCTGACTCTTTGACAATTACAATTACACTTCAAAACACAATTAATTGATGTACAAACCCCAAGTAGTTGATCAAGACATGTGCTGACTTCTATGGAACCAATCCATTGTCTACTACCAACAAATTTACTTGGTTTATCACCAACATCTACCAATGCCTGAAATAAATAACAAATCCACAGTTAAAGCGCAGTGGTCGTCTGGCAGTGCGTGTTCGAATTTCATGTAAATAAACAATGTATTTTACACACGTTGTATACGTCGCTATGAGTCCAATATCAAA